GGCAGCCTTCTGGTTGTTAGATCCCAGCATTGGCCTGTATGGCCAATTCTCCAAAGAAAGGCTGTGTCCAAGTAACTTCTCAGACAATATTACTCCACTGCTTAGATCTTTCCAGGTTTTTCCAACACATGGAGACACTCAGCCTGCACCATGGCAGATACACAAATGTGTGTGTGTATATATATTTTTGTATATCTCCCTCACTAGAATGTAAGCCCCATGAGGGTGAGCACATTGATTATTAATTGTAATATCCCAATTTTTTTTCTTGAGACAGAATCTCGCTCTGTCACCCAGGCCGGGGTGCAGTGGCATGATCTCGGCTCCACCTCCTGAATTCATGCAATTCCCTGCCTCAGCCTCCTGAGTAGCTGGGATTATAGGCACCCGCCACCATGTCTGGCTAATTATTGCATTTTTAGTAGAGATGAGGTTTCATCATCTTAGCCAGGCTGGTCTTGAACTCCTGACCTCCACCTGCCTCTGCCTCCCAAAGTATTGGGATTACAGACGTGAGCCACTGCGCCTGACCGTGTCCAGTAAATATTTGTGAAATGAATAAAGCATTTTGTATGGCTTTCAGGATTAAAGGTGAAACCCTGTGAGGGATCCCTACGTAGACTCATTTATATAGAAAATCCAATGGATTTAGAAGACAATGTACTCAGTAACAGCAGTTTCTCAGCTTCTTAGACTATGCAACATTTTCCAGACCTTGAAGGAGAGGTCAGAGGGCAGCAAGGTGCAAGTGCCCCAAACAGCCTTTCTCCAGGACAACAGCAAGAACAAACAAAGTCAAGCCAGAGCGGAGTGCCAGGAGACCACGGAGCTTACCCCAAGCAGAGGCTCCAAGAAGCCTCATAGACATCTCCACTGCCAGGTGTGCCCAGGAGAGGAATGGAGAGGGAGGTGAGAGCTCACCCCACAGTTTCCTCAGCACAGAAGGTATGGGTCAGCCAGTGAGTCCACCAGCAGATGGACGCTGCTATTAGTCTGTAAGAGAGCTGGATTCTTGGAATCTCGTGTCCAATTCTGCGGCGTTATCAGCAGTGTTTTAGGGTTAACAATAACCAAAGACAAACAAGCAAATCTGTGGGTAGCTAAGACACACCCGACCCCTCTTATTCATCCGCACCTGAAACGCCAGTGCCTCCAGGGAGAAAGGGAGCCCAGGCTTGATTGGAAATGAGGTCTCATGATAAAATGTTTATATTTCTGGCACTCAGGTTTGTGATCTGGGATAAGCTGTACATTTGTCTTTCCTTCCTCCTTCCTTTGTACTCTCACCTTTTCTACCACTAAACTGTACAATCCTTACAGACCAGAACTGTATTTTTTACCAATTTGTGACTCCCTAAAAGTACCTTGGTCATATATCTAGATACTCAATACATTATATGTATACACAAATCATACATATATCTAGATGCTTGATACATTTGAATTAGTTCCCTGGAGTGGAAACTTGCTCTGGGCTGAATATTTCATCTACTTTATTTCAGAGGCAGCATAGCTTGCCTGCTTCCATCGATGCTGCAGCCATAGTACCGGGAGTGGAGTGGATGAGCCTGTATCAGGCCAGCATTCCTCGTTGTGCCCCAGCAGAACTTTATGACTAAAGCTGGTCCAATGCCAGCATCTGATGAGGGACTTGTAGGAGCTGCCAGAAGAACATATTCCAAGGCACTTCTGTTTCCACTTGCTATGGGATTTTGTCTCTACAAGGGGAGATTCTGAGAGCAAAGCCTCAGTAGGGGAGCTTGGGAGGAGATGCAGAGAGAACCCGGGCTCTGCAAAGCCAGAACCTGTTTGTCACATGGACCAGCAACATCTTTTTCTGTTAAAGCCAATTTAGACCAGATTTTCTGATACAACTGAAGCACTGTAAATAATACATAAATCTTATCCCCTCAGAAGACTTTCTACTTTGAACTCTCTCAACCAAGCAGTATTAGAGCAGTCAAATAAGCAAATTCCTTAGTTGAGAGTTGCTCTTACAAACATCCTGCAGTAGGGAAAGTCATGGCCTAATCTGTAAGCACAGGAAGAGAGCCACTGGACTTGGGAATCAGATTCAGCCTCGCACGGCCACCAACTGCATGACCCATCCTAGACCCAGCCCGTGTCACTGTGAACCTGCTGTTGACAAGGCTGGTCACAGTGAAGACATCTTCAGTGTGTCAGCTGAACTACAGATTCTATTAAACTTCTGATAAAATCCTGCCTGCTCATAGTTACATGCAGTGAATTTCTCTGTCAGAACAACAACAACAAAAAATATATGCAAATAAAATTTTAGATATGAGTCCCAAATCCCATCCTCAACATCAAATGATGGCTCACCCATTTTTCCTCTGCTGTGCCATAAGGCATACAGAGCATGACCTGATCAGAATGCTGATGGCCCTTTCTGTCATACTGCTGAGGTTATGAAGATGCAGGTCATTACTAATGAAGCCTCTTTCACCTCACATCATGGTTTGCATCTGAACTCTCATAAATGTCTTAAGTCCCTTGAATCATGCAAAATCTCTATAAATATTTAAGTTTTTTCCTAAGAAAAGGGTGGCTGCCAAACCTCAAGCTAAGAAACTTTCAGATAAAGTTTTCTTTAAAAAAAAAAAAAAGTTTAAATGTTTGAAATTTTTTATAGTAAAACATTTTTTAAACTAGAAGGGTTTATAAAATACAGGAAAGATGAATCAGCATAAGATCTGGAAATAATCTTAGGTATTGATCACAGGTCTAAAAACTCAGTGCTAGGGTCACTGGGGTCACAGAGGGACATTAGAATCCTACTTGGAGTAAATTGCCACCTGAGGAGAGAAAGTTGACTACTATTTCCAATCTAAACTTCACCAAGGGTCAGGAATGAAAGCAAGAAGACCCAAGAGCCCCTCTCCAGCACCGTCATTACCAGAGCTCAATTCCCAAACTTTTGCTTCCCTTATATTATTTGCTTCAAAGGACTCTATTATGAAAGCAATACTTATAGGAAAGTAAGCTTAGTAAATTTGGTTCTTTATGTTTTAATTGAATACATATTCATCAAATTATTGAATGTTACACTTTATGTGAAATGGAGGTTAATTCACTAAAATTCCATCTAAGATCAAAGGAACTGGAATGCTCCTAAAGATATACTTAGAATAAATTGAAGAAATCTTAGCCAAAAGAAAGTGTATCTATCTAATCTTTAAAAAGGCTTTCAAATGATGCCTTAAGCTACTTTTATGAACAAAATTGTATTTTGAACCCCACTGCTTGACAAATATGGCCTTTGTTTCTTAAGTCAATTCTTGCCTTTCTGTGGCCTTGGTTTAACTACTTCCTTTGTTTTAAGGAGACAAAGCTTGTCAGTTCTCAAAATAAAAACCTGTCTCTCTGGTCAGATCATTAACTTCCTGGGTCAAACTTTAAACCAGACTCCCATTTGAACATCAAGTGCCAGCCTAAGCTTGTTTCCAGTCCCCCAGCCCCAGGCTGTGGCTGGGGAACGGAGAGGACAGAGATTTCTCTGCTCCCTCCGGAGACGGGAAAGCCCTTTATTCCTGCTATCCCTCTTCTCCAACTGAAGAGTGTGATCTTGGTACAGAGCAGGTCCACACATGCCACACTGGTCTGACCTTTTTAGTAAAAAAACGGGCTCTTCCCAAAGAAAATTTTTTAGGTCTCAAAGAGCAGAGAATTAGGTCTTATCACGACGCCACTCACTGGCAAATAAGCCAGCGTGCACAAGGACTTGTGACGCCCTCAGCAGAGTCGGCGCAGCAGTTCTTTCCCTTCGACTGCATCAACTTCCTAGGATTGTGTGGATCCTTATTTCTGCGGAATGAGAAATCTCCTGACAATAAAGATTTCCTAAACAGAACAAAAGTATCAAATCACTGTTGATCAGCAAGCATCATTTTAAACTTTTTTTTTTTAATTTACAAAAGATGAGGGGTAGCATTTACTAGTTTTAGAGAAATTTTGCTTAAATAGAACATTAGTGAACCACATAACCAATTCTCCTTAAATACGATAGACAGGATGGAGGCTATCACTTTGATCGTTTTAACCTCCAACATAGTAATCTGCAAACATCAGTTCCTGCACAAGCATTTCAATAACAGGTCAGCCCACGGGAGTAAACAGCACCTCAGCCTCGAGACCTGTTATTTCTCTCTGTGTGTGTACAGATTTTCCAAGTCATTACTAATTCAGATATTCCCTACATCTCAATAAAAACACCTAGGAAAACAAGAAATTAGGGCAGGCATCTCCTGTAAGCCGAAGAGAAACCGGGCACCTCGCGGAGCACCCTCGTGTCACTTTCCAACTCCGCGGGGGAATGGGCATATGGGTTCAAACGAAGTGAGAAGGACACACTTCGGCCAACAGCGTAAATCCCACTTCCTAACGGTGGTCAACCGATTCAGGGCCGTTTCACACTTCCTTCAATAAGGAAAAGCAATCTCAGAGGTCCCGTGGTCGCCGCGCCCCGCGCTCGCCCCGCCGCCCCGCGGCCACAGCGCCAGGTGTGGGGGGCTGGCCCTTCTTTTCCAGGCCGGGGGGCGGAGGCAGGCAAACTCGAGCTTCGCCGGCGCCCTAGCCAAGGCCTCCTTCCGCGCCTGCCGCGGGTTCCAAGCGCATTCCAAGCGCGCGCATCCGACCCAAGCTCCAGAGCCGCCTCCGTGGAGCCGAAGGATGGTCGCTGACACCTGGCCGGTCAAATATTAGGAAGTTATAAGTAACACGACCATCGCCAACATTGCAAACTTCGGAACAGCTTTTCTAAAAATGGAAGACTGTGGCTAAACTTCAATCAAATTCGCTGTGGTCAAGAAAGTCCTGGAAACTTTCTTTGTGAGCTTTGGGCGGTTTGCGGTGACCAGGCGCGCGACCTAGAAACCCCAGAGGCTGCACGGGGTCTCCGTCCTCCTCCTCCCGCCGCCGCCCCGTTCCGCACCGCTCCTTAGAGTGGGGGGCGGCCGGACAGGTGGCCCCCCGGTACTCACTGGTGCCCGCCGGCCGCGGCGCCCGGTCCCGAGGCTGCCCAGGAAGAGGAAGGCGCACGGCCCCGCCCCGCGGACGCGGAGGCCCCAGCGAGCGCGCACCTGCGGCAGGTGAAGGAAGAGGCGGCGCAGGACACCTGCCGTGCACGTTTCGCTGGACAAATCCCACGCGCCCGCCGGGCGGCGCTCGGGCCTGCGCACTTGGGGACTTCGGAACCGCTCGGTCTTTAGGATCGAAAAGCCCAGGGGCCAGCGGCGGCTCCGGCGTTGGGGGCGGGGGTCTCGGGGGGCGCCCAGGCCTAAGGCCGCCCTGGTCCCGCGTGGACCGCGCAGGGCTCAAGGCAGGTTTCCCGGCTGCGCCCGCCCAGCCCCTCTCCGCGAGCTCTGACTGCGCGCCCCACAGCCAGCCACGTGCGCGGGACTCGCGCTGTGCTCCAACCCAGGTGGGCCACCCCCGGAGCCGCGAGGCCTGAGCCCTCACTGCAGGTGACCCGCGGCCCCTCCTCCTCCAGGCGGCCCACGGCCGGCCCCTGCAGGTGACCCGCGGCCCCGCCCCTGCAGGTGACCCGCGGCCCGTCCTCCTCCAGGCGGCCCCAGCCCGCCCCTACAGGTGACCCACCGCCCAGCCCCAGGGGGACCCGCGGCCCCGCCCCTACAGGTGACCCCGGGGCCCCACCTCCTTTAGGTGACTCCCCCCCTCACGGCCCCTCCTCCTCCAGGTGACCCTCAGCCCCGTCCCTGCAGGTGATCGGCGGCCCGGTCCTTGTAAGCGACGGAACCTCCACCTCTAGAGTACTTGGGGACCTGTCCCAGCAGGTGACTCACGGCCCCGCCCCTGGACGTGACCCGTGGCCCCGCCCTACTCGGCCCCGCCCTACTCGGCCCCGCCCTACTCGGCCCCGCCCTACTCGGCCCCGCCCTACTCGGCCCCGCCCTACTCGGCCCCGCCCTACTCGGCCCCGCCTGCCCTCGTGCGTCGCAGAACCGCCCCAGACGATTGCGCAGGCGCGGCTTCCACGCGCGCTGCCCTGGTGGCGTTAGTGCGGGAATGCGCAGGCGCGCGGGGCGAGAGGGTGGCAGTACGCATGCGCCGCGTCGGCGTGCGTCACTAAGCGGTTTCTTGGCGCCACTACGCGCGGGAAGATGGCGGAGCCGGTTACCAAGTCCGTGCTGTTTGTGTGTCTGGGTAAGAGGGCGCCGACTTACTCATGTTCTGACGTCCTGTCGAGGGTTTGGTCCGGCTTATGCTCTGTGGGTTGTGCCGCCGAGCTAGGAACAGTGAGGGGGAGGAGGCCAGGGACTGGGGGACCTTGGGTGTTCCAGGATTGTTCCGCAGCGCCCCTGTTCCCCATTCGCCCAGTGCCCCTGCCCAGCCTGCCCTCTAAACCTGGGTCTCCTTGCGCCTGCCATATAGCCGAGGCTCTTGGCATCTGCAGCCATAGTCCCTCCAAGCCGAGGTTCTTTCCTTTCCATCTACTAGAATTCCTCTCGTTCCCCTCCAGTGGGCCCAGGTAGGTCTAGAGATTGTCGGACTGATGTGGTCCCTTAGGGGCCTCCTGAGTTCTATGACAATATTGTTTTGCTTGCAGGTTTTATTAGCCCATGCTTAGATATGGACCTGAGCTAAAGGGAGATGAAGTATGGTTTCGGGTTTCTTGATTGTAAAAGCCAAACCGAGGAGACCTGGAGGTCCCTATATAATCTTGGCTCATGAAAAATGAAAGTGTATGTTATTAATGGCTTTTCAGGAACTTTCCAGCTTAAATTATTTTCATTCCTAGAATTTCAAGACTTAGCTTACCTTACTTCAAATAGAATTTACTTTCCCTTTGGTTTTCAGGGATCTTCCTTTGGTGTAGCACTGCAAGGTTGTATTCCTCAGTTCCTCCACCCTGAGAGGAAGGCCTAAATTGTCTATAGTCCAGTTTCTTAAAACCTTCTGTGAGTTTGCATTTCCTGCAGAGTGAAGTTTCTGTTTATTTTTACAGACTTCCCGTTGTATCTCCTGTACCTTTTCCTGCTCACACCCTCTGGACACTGCCTTCCAGAACCTTTTGTTGCTCCCCAACCCTTTACTTGCTTACTGAGCCTTCATTGCCGGGTGCCCATTATGCATTTTGCCTGGCAAGTCTTTTTATTTTATAAAGTCAAACCCAAATATTTCCTCCTTTGCTTTCCCAGACCATGACTTGCTTCTTGTGACTCCTTAGTGACATCATTTACTATACAAATTTTTCTATAGTTATTTGGTAGTCTGTTGAAATCCCAGCTAAGTTTAATTTTCTTGAGGGCAGTAACTATGGCTTATTTTTCATTTTATTTCCAGCTTTAGGACAATATATGATAAACACTGACTAGGTTTTGTAGAAGTTAATTTCTGTGAAAGAAGAATTAGAAGGCTCACCTTGTTTCACATTGGTAGTATCATTTGATTTTAAGACTCACTGAAGGCTGAATGATGAAATCAAGTTTATTAAACAGTAGTTTGGTTAAGGGTGGTTACCAAATAATAGTCCATTCCCTTGTATATTTTTGTTTGATATTGTCGATTATTCTGGTATATTGCATCACGGTTGCTGTTAATGGGGAAGTGTATCATTGCATATACAGTAGTCCCACTTTAGCTTTAGGGGATACATTCCAAGACTCCCCAGTGGATCCTGAAACCGCGGGTAGTACCAAGCCCAGCTGCCATCAGTTGGAACATGTGTCTGGCCATCAACTAAAACACGTGTTTGCTCATTTCTTCCACCCACAAATGTAATGTCGTTTCCACCTTAACTGAGCACTTACAACTGTGGTCGCAGCTTTTGCAGTTGGAGGTGAGACAGCAAAACTATCATGAATTTCTTTTTCCTTGTTCACATTTTCATGGTTAGAAGATTTGTTCGTACCATAGATCTTAGTAACCTCAGTATACAATTTTTTTTTTCTTTCCGTAAGAAGTCAAAAACTTTCACCTTTTTACTTAAAGGTAGTGCTTATGGCTTCTCTTTGCCATATCTGAACTAGCTTCACTACTCTTATGCTTTGTGGCCATTACTAAGTAAAGTAAGGGTGACTTGAACCCAGGCACTGTGATAGCATCGCAATGGATCTGATAACCAAGAGGGCAGTAGGTGGATAGACAGCATGGATACGCTGGACAAAGGCATGATTCACTTCTGGGGCAGGACGGAATGGGATGGCATGAGAATTTTAAATTATGCTACTCAGAACAGCGCATAATTTAAAACTTAGGAATTACTTGTTTATGTAATTCTTCATTTAATATTTTCCAACTGAAGCTGACCATGGGGTAACTATGGAAAGTGAAATCTTGGAAAAGGGAGGACTACTGTATTTCAATACAATTCAGTTATTACTGTTATTTTTTTGGAACACATACTATATGTCATGCACTCGTTTAAGTGGTAGGGATATATGGAGTGGTGAACACAACAGACAAAAGTCCCAGCCTCTCGAGCTCACGTTCTCTCAGTTACCAGCAAGCACTAATTGGTGTGCTCAATTGGTTGGTGTGAAGCATTAAGAAAAATAGACTAGAAAGGCGAAATGGAGTGGAGTGCAGCTTTGAGTAGGATGGTCAGGGAAGGCCCCACCTGACAGATGACCTTTGAGTAAAGACTTGAAGGAGGTGAGGAAGCAAGCCTAGGATGTTTTGGAGAAGCATCCTGAGCCCAGAGGAAATTGGTTGATACTGGTAAAGGTTTAGAAGGGAGAATACTGGCCATGGTCATGAACTGCAGGGGAGCCGCTGTGGCTGGTCCAGTGGCCGGATACCTTTTCTCAGCCAGGACTCCTCATCTGTACCTGAAGATTTAGCAGATAATTTGAGTGAGTGTTTTCTCAGTGCTTCCATTGTAGATGTGTAGGGAGAAGTTAATTCCTTATATACACTGGTCCTTTAGGGCAGGAGTCTGCAAACACTTTGTGTAAAGAACCAGAGTGTAAATATTTTAGATTTGCTTCAAAGGCCATACCAAAAAGGTGTAGCACAAAGCAGCCATGCGTACGATGAACCCAGCTGTGTTCTAGTAGACCTTCATTTGTGGACATCAGAGTTGGATGGAACTCCATATAATTTTCATATGTCACAAGATATTCTACTTTTGGATTTTTTCCAACTATTCAACAATGTAAAATTCTTACCTCTGTGGGCTGTATACAAAGGTGGTGGACCATGGGCCAATTTTCAGATCCCTGTTTTAGGTCCAGACCTTAGGAGGCCATGTGAAGTCTTGGGCTTACTATCAATAAGCATTGGAGAGTTTTAAGCAGAGGTGGGAAATGATCAAATTTAAGTTTCAAAATAAGTGTTTCAGCTATTGTTTTGAGATTAAACTGGAGGTGGAGAATGCTGTTACTTGTTTGTTGGGTGGTGAGTAGTTGCGTTCTGAGCGGATTTGAGTGGTGAATGCCATTTTACATGGTAGAGGACAGTAAGAATTGTATGCTTTTGAAATGTAAACATTTTATTCCTTCAAAGCATTTATTTGGACTCTTTTAAGACTGAAGTGTAGACAAACATGTTTTTCATTGGTGAAGCTAATGATGGAAAAGAACTGAGGTCCTCATTACAGCACAGTTACTAAGGGTGCTTTATATTTTTGTAAGATAGAGACTCACTAGTGAAGATGATGCAGGAGCCATGACCCAGCCAGCGTGGTTGGTGGAGATAGCGTGTGCTGGGTGCTGGATCTCACCCCCCTGCTGGGTGCTGGGTCTTTTACAGGTATAGTAGACACAGCCCTACTCTCCTAGAGGATAACTGTTGCCTTTTATGAACCTCCATCCTTGAAATGAAGATGCTGAGGAAGGGTATATAATAGGCTGCCTAATTTGGAAAAGACAAACTTGAGACTTTACAGATTGAGACATTTTTCTACAGGCATTTGAAGATGGAATGTTCAGTTTTTAGAGCTTCTTCCATAGGTTAAATCTGGAGTGCTTATAGTGTTTCATTGGTGACCAGGGTGCTCCATTTTTTCATAACACAATTTGGTGGCATCAGCTTTCAAAATCAACAGGGCAAGCTACTACTGGACTTTGGAACATTAGATAATGCAAGTTTTCATATTGTTGTTGGAAAAAGAAGCTGTTATTTTTACAGTTAATGATAATTATTTGTAAAGTTGTGGGGCTAATCTTTATTTTTAGATTCTGAGATATTAGGCATCTATTATTACTTCCTACTGTTCCAAAATAATAATAACTGTCTTAATTTGGAATACAATGTATGATGTTAAAAATTTTCCTAGAGTATATGGTGACGGGTAAAATAGTTACACACCCATGGGAAGCCTTTCAGTAATTAAAATGATGCCGATGTCAAAACCTGTTTAAAAACTAAACAGAATTTAGAATGTGGAAAGGAAAAACTTCACAACACAAATTAGCATAAAGAGGGCATTCAAGGCTAATTGGTTGTTTTTCCCTTTCCAGTTTGTAGGTAAGATTTTTGACTGCTGTAGAAACCAGTCTCTGGGGAAAAAGTACATAAGATGCTTAGGTCTTGCAGTGTAGAAACTGAAGGCTGTAGTAAGGCAGTGAGCTGGTTTTCTGAACTGGGGAATTAGGTATGTTTTATCACACTAGAAAATCCTGATAGTACATGTTTAGCATAAACAGAAGATCCTAATCGTAATAAAGAGGAAACTCTTATTTAGTGCTGCCTTTTCTCACAGTTCCTCTTTTTCCTATCTATTTCCTTAATTCAGTTCCTAATGTTTGGACTTAGTATGGTGCTTTGGCATGAAAGAGACCGGAAGGCCTCAGCAGCCCCAGAAGCAAGGTCATAGAAACCATTGTTCACCTTCCCCAAGGTGTATCATAGGAACTAGAACTCCTCTACCCCAAAGCAAGCCATAAAACCTGGAAAGGTCACTCTCTCCCTTCTGCCTTCTCTTGAAGAAACCATTGCAGTGGGGTCCTGCTTCATTCCTGGGGTAGGAAACGCTGCGGGCCTGCTGGGTTTCCCTGCTCAGTTTACTCCAGTGGATCATTTCCTTTTGTCCAGTCCCATTTATATGTGGCTGTTTATTGGGCATCTAAGCATAAAAACAGTTTCCGTGGGTCTTTGGGTCTTCATTTCTGAAGACTTCCATGTCACATAAAACTTGATTAAATAAATTTCTTAGCTTTTCTCTTGTTAACCTGTCCTTTGTTACAGGAGTATCTTCCATGACCTTTATGATAGGTGAGGAAAGCTGCCACACCTTTCCACTCTGACACTGTCTTGTATTTGCTCCTTCACACGAGCCTCTTAGAAGGTCTTTCCAATTCAGTCATGTGTCCTTCTAGTATTTCCTTAGCCCTGCCAGTCATTTTGGTAAGTTGTAGGAGGGGTCTATGTTTTAAACAATGCTCTATCTTCAGGCTAGGGCACAGTGCTTGGCACATAAAGAGTGGGCATGCAAAATGTGTTTGAATAAGTTATATTACCCCTTTCCGTAGGACTTTGTTTCTCTTCATAGTGGCTACACAAAGGCCAAATCTTGGCCCAGTGTTCTTGGGCTCTCGTATACCAGCCCGTCAGTTTCCCAACACTTGCTCTCTGTACCTGAAGCATCGCAGCCTTACCTACTTAGTGCCACAGTCCCCCTGAGTTAAATGGCTTTCCCTTCCTCTGTCCATTAAGATCCTGATCATCCTTTAAATATCATCTCTAATCTTTCTTTTTTCTGATAAGAAATTTTCTTATCTTATTTTTTCTTTGTAGCATCGTTTTTTTTCTGTGCTACTGTAGTATATTGCTTATCAGCATTCATGTTTCTACTTTTATGATAGCCAACTGTATATCTCCTATAAGTACATTGCTTACATATGGTATATCTATTTTGAGATGAAGTCTTATGTCTTTTTCCTCTGGGTAGTATGGAATTTGGCCCTGCTGTGGATTCTGGGAGGTAACCTTTAAATGTCTTGGAGGTTTTTAGGAGTGATGGGAGTGTCTTAGTTATTCAAGGTGGCCCCCATTATGTATGCTGATGAGATGACTCCTGGTGGGGGCTGTGAGCCATGTGTGGAGGGGAAGGAGCCTGGATGGCCAGTGATTCAGCACCCTGTGTCTCCCTCCAAAACCCCCAGTAAAGCTGCAGAACACCAAGGCTCTGAGGAGCTGCCTGGGTTGGCAGTGCTCTTTGAATATCATCCCATGTTGATGACAGCAGGGTAAGGTGTCCCAGAGGACAGTGGAGCTACCTGTTAGGAAACCTCCCAGAATGTGCCCTGTGGGTCACTTGCTTTGGTTGGTTTTAATTTTTTATTGTTGTTGTTGCTGTTATTGTAATGAAATTGTAACGGTAAATGTTCTGCTTTGCTGAGTTTTTTTGGAGTAATGGTAGGGAATTATCAACCTGAGAGAGTTCTTGGGAGCCTGGATGTCTCACTGGCTGGTCTGAAGTAAGGGTGGCCCTGGTGTCAGACGCGGTCTGGAGAGTGGTGTCCCTGACCTTCGCTGCTGATGCCTGGATCTGTATCCTCTGGACTCAGGGATTTTTGCATGTGATTGCTCAGTAAATGTTGGTGTTGAATTGCTGTTTATGCTTAAATGCATGTTTGTGTATTGTTTTGTGTAACAATATTCATCCTTATTTGTGATATACTTGAAAATACATATGGTTGACCCTTGAACAATAGGGGTTTGAACTTGGAGGGATTGATTCGAGGGATATTTTTAATCAGGCGTGGATGGAAAATACCATATTCTCTGAAGGAGAAACCCATCTATATAGAGGGCCAACTTCCTATACTTGGGCTCCAGATCAAACAGGAGCCAGCTATGGGACCTGCGTTTGCACATTTTGTTATAGTGGGTAGGGGTGGGAGGGTGTCCTGAACCAGCTCCCTGTGTCTAGTGAGGGACATACCACTGTATTTTAATTTTATTCTGTTATTTCATTTTAAAATAAGCCGGTTACAACACACTTTATTTTCATGGCTCACTCCTGGATCATTAGTAGCAACTCTTTAAACAATAATTTTGGCTAAAATTGTTTTTTTTAGATATGTTTGTCATCTATCTATACTTGGCCGGTTGGTGTCATATCACTGAACTTGGGCCTGATGGGCTGTTCTTCAGGAGGGACTACCCTCCTGTGGACAAAGGTGTCAAAGGATAGTGTCGGCCTTTGTTTTTCCTGAGGGATAGCATGGTCCCTGCGTGTCAGGTGTGTGAAAAGGGGGAGTTGGCATGTCCCCTTCCATCCAACCTAACCCTCTGTCACCCCTTTTTTTTTAAAGGTAACATTTGTCGATCACCCATTGCAGAAGCAGTTTTCAGGAAACTTGTAACTGATCAAAACATCTCAGAGAACGTAAGTACCATTCATTATCTTAAAGAGACCCAACCTTAACTCCTGGGCAGGAAATTGCCAAAAAAAAAAACTCCATGTTTCTTCCCCTGCAGTGGAGGGTAGACAGCGCGGCAACTTCCGGGTATGAGATAGGGAACCCCCCTGACTACCGAGGGCAGAACTGCATGAAGAGGCACGGCATTCCCATGAGCCACGTTGCCCGGCAGGTACCGTCCTTGGACTTGAAGTTGTGTGTTTTGTGTTTCAGTGGGTCATTGACAGTGGTGCTGTTTCTGACTGGAACGTGGGCCGGTCCCCAGACCCAAGAGCTGTGAGCTGCCTAAGAAATCATGGCATTCACACAGCCCATAAAGCAAGACAGGTAGACAAGCTCTTGTTCAATTTCTAATATGTAGAGTCCAGTAACTTGATAAGTAGTGAAAAAGATTAACCAGACTTATCTAGTAATGAATGTGTTTATTTAGGGTAAGTTTAACCAGCTACAGTGTCCATTTTGTTTCACTTCTGGTTGCACAGTATTGAAAGACTTGCATGATTTTGGAATTTACCTATTAAAATGTACATGAAAGCCAGCTAATTTATAATGAGAGAGCCTGACTGTGAGCTGGGGCTAAGCAGTGCTCTGTGTTCTGTTCCTTCCTGCATAATTTTTACCAAACATTTAGGCCATAGTAATTATACTGCCTGTATTACGAGTTTGTTGCTAGAATTAAGTTATATGCAAAAACATTTTTTCAACTGTGAAGTGCCTTGGTAACATAGGGTAATACCAACAACATTATTGACACATAATTACACTCAAGTTTGCAGTCTAATAAAGTCACAACCAAATTCTGCAATTTCAAATGAAGATAACCTTGTATGTTTATTATAAATTAGAAGCTGAAGTTGATTTTCTAAGAGTTCTTTATTTAAATGAAGTACTCTAGGACTACTGACCTTTTCTGAAATGGAATTCTCATTGGTCAGGCGATTAAACATTTTTATACAATTTGTCCATCCTAATCTCTTCAGGCTTTTGCTTACCTTGCCAGTTTCTACTGGCCATTGTTGAAAATAGATTTATGTGAAGCAGTCTTTCAGAATTATGAGTGCTTATACTTGCAAGTTTTACGTTTTTAAAGTCAGATTTTTTTTATACACTAAGTATATAATAAGAGTGTATGCAAATCAAGTATTTTAAATACATATTAGAAACTTTTTTTAAAGAACAGTTTTAATTTCGAGTTTTGGAATCAGTATTTGCATGTGTTTTTTGCTTTTCCTGTTTCTTTTAAGAAAATTTTAAGGTATGTTTTATGAGTTAGTATCACATCAGAGCTTTGTCATGTTTACAAGTTCTTTTCCTTTACCAATGTCACAATTTATGTGATAACTATTGTACATTTCTTAAAATCTCAATTTTCTCAGTGTCTTAATGAAATATTTTTAGGATGCCTATTTCGTTTTAACTCTTACAGTTAGTCTTTTAGAGTACATGAGCTTTCTGCCCAGGTAGTTCAAAGGAGACTTTTTTTTTTTTTACTTTATTATACATTATTTTATCTTTTCAGTAAACTGCATTGATTTGTGTACACAGATTGTGAGTACAACCCTGACGTCCCATAGCAGCCCTCTCCCTACTCCTTCAGTGGTCCCCACAAAAAAATTTGTTCTACTTTTTAACTTCACAGAAGTGGAATTATAGTACATACTGTTGTCTGTCAGCTTTTTTTTTTTCTTGTGAGAATCTCTGTGTTGATTGTAGCAATATGATTGTCATTGCTGGATACTGTATCATTTCTCAGTTGGTCCGTTGTACTCTTAGTCGGGGTCTGGGTGGTTTCTAGTTTGGGGCTACTGCAGATAGTGCTGCTGTGGGTCACGGTGCACACCTGCGTGTGGTTCTGTTGGAGTCACGCCCAGCAGACACAGTGTAGCCGGGTGCACAGCCTCATAAAATACATTGGGGATGTTCCCTCTTTTTTTCTCTAAAAAAGTGGTTGAAGATTGATAGTATTTCTGCTTATCGTTTGAAAAATTAATCTAATGGGTTGTCTTTTTGTTGTCTGTTATTTCCTCTGGCAGTGTTTCAGTTTTTCTTTCGGTATTTAGTTTTCAGTAGTTTCGGTGTGGTAGGCCAGATACGATCCCGAAGTTGTGGCTTGATGTTTTTCATCAATTTTGGAAAATCCCCGGTTGTTATCTTTTCATATTGTACTTTTCTTTCTCCTTTCTCCTGAGATTCGCCTAACGTGTATAGTGAACATATATGTCTTATACTGTTTTATTTTTTATCCTTTTTACTCTTCTTCAGTCTGACATTTTCTGCTGACCTGTTTTCTGATATATGAGTCTTTCTGCTGTTTTCAAACATAAAGATTGTCTGTTATTTACTTAATTCTTTAAGTTTTGTTCTTTTTTCTTTTTGTAGATTCTAGTTTTCTGGTGAAATTCTACATCATGCTCTATGTTTTCTTGAACATACTTTCATAGCTGCTTCATATACAGTGGCAGATCTCATTACGGACTGTTCGTGAGTCTGCTTTCCTTTTCTGTTTTTTTTTCTCTGTTTTGTTGTTTATCTTTGTCTGTTTGCGCTGCTCTAACAGTACCTGAGACTGGATAATTTCCAACAAACAGGGATTTATTTCTTAGAGTTGGGCTGTGAAGTCAAAGTCAAGGGGCTCAAGGGGCTGTGAGGTCCTTCTTGCCGCATCATCCTGTGGGAGAAAGTGGGGGAGTCAAGAGAGTGCCCCAGAGTGGGCAAGAGCAAGAGCTAGAAAAACAGGAGAGGGACACAGGAGAGAGAAAGGATCCATCACTGTCAGGAGCCCACTCCCAAGACAGTGGCATTAATCTTAAAGGTCCTGCCTCTCACTGCCATTGCACTGGGGGTGAAGTTTCCAACACAGAAACTTTGGGGGGCACATCCAAACCATAACATAAAGAGTTAAAGAGTTCTGCTACTGAGTCATTTGAGATCTCTGTTCTGAGGCCTCGTCAGTGCCCAGTTTTAGCGGGAAGAGAAGTGGCAGGTGGCAGGAGTCTGCAGATTGTGGCCTGTACCTTTTTTGTGAAGTGTTTACTGGAACACAGCCAGACTTTTTAGTTCACCTGTAGTGTGTGGCTGCTTTTATGCTAGAGCAGCAGAGCTAGAGAGGCTGTGTGGCCCACAAAGCCTGATTGTCACTGGAGCACTCTGATGGTTTTGGAGGGGCTTTGGTGATTTATATGGGGTTTCTAGTTGTTTTTCATAGTAGGAATGATTTGCCACAAGCTGGTTCATTTACAGTTGCAAGTGGAAATCCACTACTGTGTATTTGTTACTTAAATTATAGCTGTTTCTTTTCCTTCTCAATTATTGTAACATCTAAAAATCATGTAACAGTCACTGTCTTTTTTTTTTTTTTTTTATGAAAAACTTACAATTAGTCCAGAATTTAGAACGAGTTTAGTATTAAATCCTAGAGCATTTCTCACATAACTTAATTTGGAGAAATAACATAACACTGTCCAGGCATGGTGGGCCACACTCACAATCCTAGTAACACTTTCGGAGGCTCAACATTGCTTGAGCCTGAGAGGTCAAGACCAGCCGGGACACCATAGTGAGACCCATCTCTATGAAAAAAAAGTTAAAAAATTAGCTGGGTGCTGTAACATGTGCCTGTAGTCTTAGCTATTTGGGAGGCCAAGGTAGGAGGATGGCTTGAACTCAAGAGATTGAGACTGCAGTGAGCCGTGATCTTGCCACCACACTCCAGTCTTGGTGACAGAGTGAGACCTTTTCTCTAAAAACAAAAAAGAGAGAAAAGTCAGTATGACACTCATTCTAGATTTTGAAATAAGTGAGTGTCTTGGGAGGGTTGACAAAGTACAGCCCATTTTGTGATTGGAAGTGCATACTAAATCCAAAGCTTCTCATTGTTTAAAAGAACAAGTTTATTAGGAAACTTAAACTTTCCACCTTTGTTCTGCAGTAGGTATGTTTCTGTTCTTTCTTATTCTGCATTTATTTATAGTAGTCGAAATTCACAAAACAATTTTTTCATTTATATTTTAAGTAGGCGTATTTATAGATTATGTCAGAAAACAGTGATAAGCTTTCAGGTTATAATCAGTAGAAACACTGAGTGGCATTCTCTTCTGTGTCAGGTTTAAATTATGGATCTTCCATCAGAATAAAGGATTATCGGTTACTACTCCTGTGTTTCTTTCTTAGTGAGCACCTCTGACCACCCTCCTTAATACTCCTCCTCCTCCCTGCCCCGAAGCTGTCTGTACCGCCTCTCTGCTTTCTTCCCTTCAAGGCATCTGTGCGTCCTGCGTGTGGAAGGGCAGTGCCACAGGACAGGCTCTGTCCGCTTGGCTTGGTGTTTGTCACTGGGGCCCAGGACGTTCAGTGCTTGTGCAAGAAAAATAGAGTAATGAAGGGGTTAAATATGTGACATTTCAGTACTTCGACTGTATTATACATTGTTAGTAAGGAACTGAAGCTGATGTGTAAACATTGTGTCTACACATTATACTGTTGTATGATTCTTTTATGGAACTTCATAATACAAAATTTCTTTGCAGTACAATTTTGGGAACTAGGTTAACTCTATTTTAACTGAAAAGTACCCTCAAAATTATTTAATTAGATAGTGAGTAACAAGCACAAATACAGCAGTTTTTTTTTTTTTTTTCTTTTAGTACTACTTTGCATCCTCTAGGCTTGAATGGTATAAATATAAATACTGTATTTTGACTTCTTTATTCAATTTTAGATTACCAAAGAAGATTTTGCCACATTTGATTATATACTATGTATGGATGAAAGCAATCTGAGGTAATCCTGTTTCTGAAGAATGTTTCTGTTCAACTCTCAATTCAGTAGTAGGCCAAGTAATTTCTTTTCCAAATTTACTTTTTCTATTATTTTAAAGTTTTTAATAGTCAGTGATGGTCTCTATTTATTTAGAACAGCAAAAAATTTAGTAATTTAAAATTGTCTCATAGGTATTTAAAAGGAGATACACCTTAGAAAAGGAAAGTCCAGTTATTAATAGCATGATTTGATCTGAGAACTAGCTTGGCTGTGATAGTTTTGTATCAGGCACATTGCTCTGCATGAGAACAAGTTTGTTGTTATGTCCCCAAGTTCACACAGTTAGTGTGTGGATGTGGTGGGATTCAAGCCTAGGTGCAGTGAAACAGGGCCCTGCCATATGCACCCGCCCCAGTCCCCTGCTTATGGCGCCATGAGGAACTAATCATGATTTACTGTAACTCCAAGATTCTAACTTGCATTGCCACTTATTCATAAATACTAAATGTTTTTGATGAAGATAAACTATGCTTTTAATTACTTTTGTACAATTGAACACACAGGGATGCAAGTTTTTATTTTTTTATTAATTAGGCCTTTTATTAAAATGCATGCATTTTTATATTTTTATTTTTCAGTCCTTACTCTGTTCTCATTGTTTTCCCTGACACCATAGCTTATAGGTATCGTTAAAAAAAAACCTTGTTAGAAGACTCCATGTGCCTTGACTGGTACTGAGCACCGTGTTTATTTGTGTGGGGCAAGCGGAACTCCTGCAGCCTCACGTTTGCTTGTGCCCTTCTCTCCCTGGAAGCTCCTCCTTGCTGCTTGGGCCATTTGGCTCCTATTTGCCCCTCACGGGTCAACTGAAATTCATCTCTTTCTAGAGGTATTCCGCTGCCCTGTCAGTAGGCCAGATTGTGCATTAGACTTAGCTCTGCCCTCAGTTCTCTTCCTGCACCTACTCTTGAGCTGTAAAAGTTCGTGCACCGGAGAAAGTTCATGCACCGGAGCACTTGGCTGTTCCGTTCCCACGTAAAGCACATGCCTGACTCATCGACTCATCTGTCGCAGGTGCTCAGTTGAAATTTGTTAAATTAATGGAGGTGCTTAGTTAAGTTTGCCTTTTTCTTTTGTAGCAATGTGAAAGCTAAAGGTGGAAGTCTAGAGTGAAGCTGAGTTTTCAGCTTGGGCAGAGGCTTGAGGAATAAAAGAAGGAAGAGTAATTAAGGAATGGGTCATGCAGCAGGAAGTACTGTGTCAAGACACCTGAGGATGGAATTGGTAGCCCTTTGTTTTGGGGCTGGCTCATGTGTTTTAGGTCCCTATCACCTTTGTTTCTTCTCTGAAACTTGGTTGATTGTCTCAAAACGTATTTTGTGGGAGAAAATATAATTACTGAATATTTTGTGTAACAAAATCAGTAAGAATAAGCTGCTGTTGCAAGCTCTCTTGCCTAGAGAGAGGGTGGTGGCATACAGCTGTAGAAAGGGCCACATAGGCCTGCCGTGTGTTCTGCTTCATTTCAAATCAGGTCACTCTGTCTTGATTTTGATATGGACGTTTCATAAGACCCTAACAGATGTCCCTGTTTAACTCGAAACCATAGATTAGAAAACTAAGTTCATGTTTCAATTTTACAGAGATTTGAATAGAAAAAGTAATCAAGTTAAAACCTGCAAAGCTAAAATTGAACTACTTGGGAGCTATGATCCACAAAAACAACTTATTATTGAAGATCCTTATTATGTAAGTACAGTTTATGTTTTATAGTATGAAGACCCAACATGTCTATATTCTGCCACATTAAATAACAGATTAGACTGTCTTAAGGATGTTTTTGTTATTCAGGTTTTGCCATTTTCTTCTCTTTCCTGTCCATTTAGGGGAATGACTCTGACTTTGAGGCGGTGTACCAGCAGTGTGTCAGGTGCTGCAGAGCGTTCTTGGAGAAGGCCCACTGAGGCAGGTTTGTGCCCTGCTGCAGCCAGCCTGACTAGACCCCACCCTGAGGCCCTGCGTTTCCCAGTCAGTGTGTAATAATGTTCCAGAGCCCAAAGCCCCAGCTCTTTGTTCAGTTGACTTAACTGTTTCTTACCTTACAAAATAATTCTAGGTGGAAATCAGTTGTGATTGGCAGAAGAATAAATAAAAACCTTTGACTCAGACAGTTTATGGGGTATATAAAGCATTCTTAGACTAGTTGAACATCTCACTTTGCCCCAATTACAAAAATAGTTGAACAAACAACATAAAATACAATGAAGGAAAACCCCACTTGAAGGTCCAGGTCAACATCTAAGCCCATTGAGACCTAGATCATCGAGTCTACCTCCTCAGTAGGTTTGTGTGGATGGCCTGATGGAGGGCAGGTGCCCTCTGCTCCCCTGCGCTACCTCTCTCTTCCCTAGGGCCTTTTATGTATTCACAGTAGCCCCTCCGTAGGAGCTCACAGTATAGAAGTGTTTTAATTTATACACACCCATAGTGCATACTTGTATATTGAAAAGATAGAGAAGACAGAAAGATGTATGGAATCAGTCATTAGCACCTTTAATACTTCTTGATTTTGTCGAGTTTACTTCATGAGGAGGTCAGCTCATTTGCTCCCATCTGAACCACTTTGCCTCTGAAACTTAACTCCATCCAGAAAGAACACCACTTGTATGCTAGTCTATCTGTGGTCAGTTAGACTAGCTGAGGAATATGACTTTTATATGCACATATAACCCAAATGTCCAATATAAATTGGCTTATTTTTAAAAATAATTTTAAAAATTGGGAAAAGTTTTATTTGGCATGCATAAATATTGATTGTTAAGTATTCTTCTAAATGTATAGGCAGATACAAGTAATTTGTGTATTTTGAGTTAATGTCAAAATCATATGAATATTTCAAAATAAACGGGATTTATAAAAATACAGCCAGAGATATGAATCTGGTGTCTGCCTGATTTTTATTGACAAGGAAGCATTTGAAAACTATTTTCCTTTTTACATGATCTGTGATGTTATGTGTGCATATTTATCTTCAGGATGAGGATAAATGATGAAAATAAGCACATTGCTGCCCCATATAATAATGTCTGGTTTCTGAAAGAAGGTTGAGGTCCTGCAGCTGGAAAACCCCCTTGCCCAACACCATCCTCTAAAAACGTCGCCCCATGCTGAGCCCTCCTGTGCAGTACGCACAGCTGCCTGGCCAGGACTGGACCTCAGTATCCTGAGGGTCCCATGCAGTGCTGGGGAGAGGAGACACGTTTGATCCCTGACTCACTCGTGCCTGGAGGATGAACTGCTGCCAGATGAAAGTGAGTAGTTTCCCCATGGTGCCACGTGGAAGTGCCAGGCTGTCTTCACAGGAAGAAAGCTCGAAAACCCAGTGAGTCTTGCTCTTGTTGGAATTACTCAGACATGCAGAAATCTTAGGGGATTATGAATAGAGTGGATATTTGAATATGATATCCTTAAAAAGTTGGCAAGAAAAGGTCAAGTAATTAGCTATAATTAGAAAACAGGATTACATAACATCACTTCAGAAGTTATACCCTGTTCTCTTCATTCAGTAATTGCTTTTAATAATCTCAAACTCAAAATTTCGTACTCTTCTTTTATGTTTGTAAGTAAAATCCTACAGTTTTTCTTAAATGTTAATCTATATAAAATACAGATCCTCAAACAAATCCTAGGACCCTTGACTTCTTGATGGCTGTTCCCAGATAATACTGTGCCGACAAGGGCACTGAACAGAGAAACCCGTTGCTTTGCTGAATGCAGCTTCTTACATGGGATCTGGTTAGATTTGTTTAAAGTAAGTCTACATGTAAAATTTTGACACTGCTTAGAACTCCTAAGCTTCCTCTTAGTTTAGCATTTTCGTGATTACAAAATCACTTGGGAAATAATGGATACAACCTTGTTTGGAATATCTCCCAGCAAATCAGGGCCTATCTTAAGAAATTATGTCACCAATATATAGTAGCCTCTACTTTAAAAAATACTAATTATCCCTTACAGAAATTCTCAGGCTTCAAGTTTCATGTATTTATGCCTTTTATATTCTGTGACCTTTTCCAGTGTAATGATCTCTCAGTAGATCTGTAAAACATGAATTCCCAACAATAAACTCATTAGAGAGGTAGAGAGTCACTTTGAAGACTATTCATTATAACAAACACTTCATTTATTACTTGTGTTTATTTACAGTATTTACATATTGCACAATAGCTGGAATACTATTTTACATTTATTATACAAAGGACCAACAAAATTAGCCTGGATATGTCCACAGACTTACACTCCACTGTCTCTAAAACATGACTGAAATTTTAATTTTTTATGCCGTTCCAAATAATACCCTGGGAATTGTGAAAGTAATACGGAATATCAAATCATACCATATGCTATATGAAAATATACTTTAAGATTCTGCTTACGTTTCTAAAGGAATATTTTTTGCAATTTCACCCAATCCAGAAAATGAAATATTCTCTGCATTTGTTTTATAGCACTACATGTCAAATGTGGAGCATTCCTTTTGTGTTTTTAAAAAATAAGAGTGGCAGATATCACTGTCAAGTACACTGATTTATCGAATATATATCTGCAAACAGTGTCAACAACATACAAAACTCAAAGGACTTATGGAAGAGTCTGTCTGCAAAAATAAATCTCTTGTCCATGAGGGGATGTGTATAAAGACAGTTCTGTTTCCCTGTTGGTTTCCAAGGCACTTCTCATGGCTCCTGGTGTGCTGCTCCTGTACAGCTGTGCTCACTGCTGAAAACAAGTACATTCCGTTTGATATGACTATCCACACCTCTTACCATGAATTCCAGAAGACCTGGCACTTCAGTTAGGGGGGACAACGTGTTTATAAACACAGGCAGTCTAAGAGTGCATCTGTGTTTCTCTATGTTCCAAAAAGCGCAGTCTATTGTATTTTGAAAAATGACTTATTTTTGCAGTTAACTACATGGCGGCGATGTTAAAGCAATGAAAGTCAACACAGAGCCACGTGAATGCTTAAAGCTTGAAGAAGAGTGCTTAGTCTTGTGTTATCAGAATCCTCAGTAGTCCAGGCCACAGAGATTTTTATCTGGCAGTTCTGCAACCTCAGTGTTCACAGGATTATAAAGCTAATAATCAAGATTAGACATTTGTTTCTAGCATTCTATGCTCAAATGTCTAAACCATTGGTATTTATTTTTAAAAGAATGGTAAACTTCAGGGTCACTAAGATTAGGCTGCATTTGGGAGCGTACACTCTGTACTCACTACTCAAAACTCCAATTCTCTGACAGTATTCCAGAGCTCAGGCTTCTGATTAACTGACCTGTAAGTCTGGACAATAAAGTGTGTCTGTGACTTAGGGAGGGCAGCTGGGACACTGTTCTCTTTGGCCTGAAGGGGTCTATTAATGAGCTTCAGAAACTGGCAAATGGATTTGCTCTGAGATGAGGAGGGCAAAGCCTTTCCTGCCGAAGGCCTGCTTTTCTCAGGCTGTGGGCCTTTCTTTAGGAGACAAGGTCACGGCTTGCAGTCTTGCCCTGCCATCCTCATGTGTCAGGACAGAAGCGCATGTGGCTGGTTGTCAACCAGTGGAACCAGAACTGGGGTCCGCAGGGCCCTCCCCATGCCACCTCGTTGCAGGAGCGTGGGCACCCTGGGACGCCTGCCGTGCCCCCTGCTGTCTCACCGAGGCCTGCCAAGCTCAGCAAAACTCTGCACTGTATCTACATTGCAGTGACCAGCAACGTAACAATTTCTTTGCTGTTTAAACCTTTTGGAATCTGAAGAAATCAATCTAAAAAAATAGAAGTTACGAAATTAGAGTTAACAGGGTATCAATGTTTTAGACTTTACCCATGTCATGGCCAAAATGAACCCAGCTAACAGCCGTGACACCTGTGGCTGTTGAGCAGATGGCCTTTTGGGAACAGGAGCTTGTGAGCCTGGGCCTTGTCCTAACCTTTACCTGCGTCTCGTTGTCAGTCAGGCTTTGTTATGGTTGTCCGGTGATCCAGAGAGTGATGTGAAGGGTGCTGGGGGCTCTCAAGGGGGTTCTGCCACAGTTTTCCTGTGGGGCATCAATGTGGCGTCTGGCAAAGCATGACGTGCCCACGCAGAGACCCACGCAGGAGCCCGTGTCCCACGGACGTGTGACCACGTCCTTCGGTGCAACTGCCTCCAGCAGCAGCCCGTGGAGGGGGGCGGGGGTTGGCTAATGGGCACGTGGACGGAGTAGCTCTTCTATCAGCTGAGACCATGGGGAATTGGCTCTCCTCACTTGTAAGTAAATGGAAAATTTCCAAGGACATCCCTGGCTCATCTCTGGGAGCAGTGTGATTTAATTATAAAGAAATATGTAAAAAACTAACATTCTCATTTCTGGTGTATCACCTGGGGTGCCAGGAACATACATCTATTCACTGATTTATACAGAAAAAGTATCTGCGACACACAGGAGGAGGAGAAGCTTGAGAGGACCGGAAGGGCAGGGCGCGGGGCGTGACCACAGCACTTCTCAGCTCCATGCCTTCACCACCGCCAAAGAAAAAGCGCAGCCTCAGCCGCCATTGCTCACTGGCCTCCGTTGCCCAGTGCCACTCCTCTCACTAGCAGCAGTTGCTTCTGCTAGGAAAGACGGAGTGGAGGACACATGGGCAGGACCCGCGCTGTCTCCTGCCGGGGCAGGGGCCACACACCCAACCCTTCTGCTGCTGCCGCCTAAATATTCATAAGCGCTGCCTCTCCTTAGAGATCACATCTGTATAGGAAAGAGCACTCCCCTACCCTCATCCGTTTTACATGAGACGTACTAGAGAAACCACTAGAAAAATACTCCCTTTTCATGAATGTGCTGGACAGCCATCAATGGGCAGGAGGCCTACCTTAGTTGTGCCGGTGTAGCCAGCATCTGGCAGTGCCTGCACATACAAGACACGCAGTACGTATAAAGTTGGTGAAATTACAGTTTCATCCTGCTGTCTAAAGTGACTGAATTCTGTGGCATTTACGTCAGGGAAATAAAACCTTACCCTTCAAAACATCCACTGATGGGTCTTATATGTTGCCTATCAGCCCTTGAAGGGCCCAGGTGCAAAGTGTAGTTAATATGATATGCATTTACATTTTTACTTATTAGAGGCTATGAAAAAAAAGTTGATAGAAACCTTTAAAGAGGATAGCTGTTCTTTGTGAGCTTATTGTCATAATGATAGATTCCAACTCAAACATTTACCAGATGTGAGAATCTGCATGGATAATGTTGGTCATCTTCACTTGCGTTACTGAATGAATGCGTGCCTTGAAGTGAATAGTGCAGTTTTAGTCTGTTTCTGGCTTATGTACTCACATGCTGAAACTGGGTAGAGCAGGACCTGCCTGGTGCCTGTGTGTCGTACAGTGAACAGTTAACAGCAGCTGCCTGGGCACTGTAGACAAGCCAGTAGGGCGGCTTTCAGCACTGAGATAGTAAGAGTGCTGTGCCAACTCTGTGTAGAATACAGCTACCTCAGCCAAAGAACACATGTTCCTAAACTCCCATGAATTTTTCATGTCCCAAGCGGGATTCCCTTTGGTGTGTGCTCCAGTGCGTGTCCAAGCTTACCTTATCCTCCATGCACACTGGACTGACAGCCAGCCGGGTAAGAAGCCTGGCACATCTTTTATAGTCTATAGTGAAAATAAATCACAGACACTTGTCATTAATTTAAAACAAAAATAGCATCTTTTGCAAGTATATCAGCTACTAAAGCCATTTATTTCTTTAAATGTCTGAATTCCCTGGAAGCAATACAGAGTCTGTAGTCTGCAGGCATGGGTTCTAAGTTGTTGACTTAATAATTTATGGTGCTTCAAGGGCTTAAGCTTCAATGGCAGAAGTCGGATGATTTAAGTGGCGCTGCGGAGGGAGGAGGGACAGGCACGAAGACGGCATGGCTGAGCTGGCTGCCCATTGCTCCTCTCAGAAATAACTTCATTTTGCTTTCTACATGACAGTCCTTCCATACCCTTGTGTCACTTCTAGGTTATGTGCGGGCTGAATCCCAGCTTGAGTTGACCATGACACAAAGCCTTCTGCCTGTAAATTCTACAGAAAGTGGGTCACAAGGCAGCAGAGCAGAGGCGTGGACTGGATGGCGAACAGAAGCAACATGCCTGTTTCTAACTGCAGACTGATACTCCTCAGTATGAACACAGTCTCCCATTCCACTATTCTGCTCATGCTGCCTATACAAACTGAGAAGGTGCAATGATCCTGGCCATAAGGGAATTTTGAGGATCTATGGAAAGCTGTAATTGTTAATAAATTATTACAGTTTATTTCTCAAGAATAGCAAAATCCTACTTAAAAATGGGAGAATTTAGACTCGACTGAAAATCTGAATTGAATGGGGAGGTTGACAATGATAAATGCGAATAAGCTAGCTAGATAAGTAGCTAGCTCTACTTCCAAAAATATGCCTCCTAAATATTTGTGGCACATATTGCTAGGGGTTTTTCAAAGGGAAAAGCGTGCTGTAACGGCGACACTGGGCCATCTGAAGCCAGTGTCTGCCTTTCTCTTTCAGCAGCACCATGCTTTTCAGAATGCAGTTTTGCTAAACAGATTCCATATCATGGGTGCAGTGGATTGTGTGATTCCAATGGCAGATCTAATCAATGAATTGTAAAAACTTCCACTTGCGTCATGTCCAGGGTCGCAGTTGACTACACTTCCAGCTCAACCCACGTGTTTTCAGCAATGTCTGGCAAACTTCAATGTGCAGACCAATCACCTGGGGATCTTGTTAAAACGCAGATTTTGTTCAACAAGTCTAGATGGGACTTGGTTCTGCATTCTCAGCGAACTCCCCACAGGACCACACTTCGAGTGAGAAGGCACTAAAGTTCCTTCAGGTCTGACATTCCAGGAGCCCAAGGATTTTCTTTCATATAGCCTAACAAAGCACAGAAGTGGTCCGATTTCAGCTCTCCAGCTCTTTGTGGGCTAAGAAGAGGCAGAAAGCAACAAAGTAGCCACCGGTCTCCAAAGGCAGAGATCTACCAGCCTTCTCCCTTTCCTTGACCTGGGGTGAGCTGCGACCAGGAGCTTAGGATCACACAGCTGAGTTGCTGTGAGCACAAGGAAATATCGAGTAGGGGTACAGCACGATGCCCTGGAAAAAGGTCTGCAGAGTTCACCCTGAGATCTACATCTTAGCTTTACTGCTATCTGGCAGCACAAAAGCACTTCCTCATTTATAAATGAAAAGATGAGACTGAATGACTCAGAGGTCACTTGGAAATTTGGAATCTATGATCCTATTACTGTAAGAAAATATTTAATATAAAATATACGCACATTAAAACAATACAAATGACAAGATTTTCTAGCTCGAAGAGCCAGATTAATGATTCCCAATAGAAGGTGATTGCATTCCAAAAGAAGAAAACAGGAAAGTCCTAGCGTGCTGGGTCCACGTGGAAGGGTGAGGCCCAGCAGCGAGAATACAGAAACAAAACCCTTCAGGAGGTGTGTGCTGCTGGCCTTGGCATGAGGATGGTGTCACCAGTGGCATGGTCAGAGGCTGAGGCTGTGTTCCATGCGTCTCCGTGCTGGTGGTGTGGTGGGTGCTAAATGTGTATGTGCCTTCGCTTTGTCCAGAAAGTGCTGGTGTTGCCACTTCAGTGGGCTAAGGCTCACTGACATGCACCTGGCACTCAGAAGAAGTCCTATGAATGATGGTTATTATTTCAGGTAATTTTGCTGCCCAAACAAAGAAAAACACTTTGTGTACATTGGCTTTTGATTTGTTTGTTTTTGGAGGGGAAGGTAGGACAGCAAGTGTGGTCTGCTGCCTGGCCCGGCTGGAGGGCGCTGATGGCGGCTAGCAGTATTCCTAGTGTCTGCATGGCTTTTCTCCTCTTAGCCTTAAATGAATAAAAGCTGGAGTCCAAATTAAAAAAAAATAGGTTAGGGTTCTGTCACTGTAGCTAATAAGACTACAATGAAGAGAACAAGGAGCTACTTTTGGGGAATGTTTTGTTATGAATAAATAGGCAGAAGCGGGTTAGGAAGACTGAAAAGAAACAGGAGAGAAAGCTACCGCTGAGAGCTGGGCTGACAAGGGCAGCTCTGTGTTTCTGAAGAGTGATGGAGCCAGCCAGAGAAACAGTTTTGAAATCACAATGAAATTTGTGGGTGATAAGGTTGTAAATACTAATGGGAAGAAAAAGTCTCTAGTCAGAGCAGTGGTCCAGGTCAATCTTATTCTTGGAGTCATTTTAGCAACTCATTTTTAACATCTGTTTGACTGCCACAGTAGAGCATGCACAAACATGAGCACTGGACGGGAACTGGCAGAGAAGAGGAGAATAGGAGTTCAGCCCTCCCTAGAGCCTGTTATTCCAGTGACTATAAATAATTCCCAGTTTGGCATTAGCTGATGCAGAAGTTAGTTATCTTCTGCAATGGTCTGGCCATCTTGGCCCCTAACTCCACAGTGAGGAAGGAATAGGCAAATTTGAGCAAAGAAGGCAGGGGCCTCTGAGGAAATGGAAGGAGGTGGGAACCACGGCCTGCACTGTGCTTGCAGTTTATAAAAATCCAGTGCTGTTACTTACATGCAGGAATGGTGCAGTCTCTGGTGTTGTGATAAAGTCTATGGAAGTGTTTGCTGCACTTTGGACTAAAATAAAGAGGACCTGCAACACGGAAGAAGAAACAGATCATGAAGACTCAGGTGCAAAGGAGCTCTGGGAAAAGCGAGGACGGAGGAGAAAACTTACCTGTAAGGTGTTTTAGAAACTTGTCTTTCATCCTCAGATCTCGAGGAACAATTTCTGTTTCAGGGAAAAGAAAGTATTTTATTGCTCGAAGGAAGCATTTTTTGACAATGTGATCTTAAGTGAATGTTGAAGAAAATTAATGGAAACTCCACATTAGTCAAATTGCTTTGCACCAAAAAAAAAAAAAAAAAAATGGGGGGCCCTGGATTGCAAAGCATGACAGTGAAGAAGCCTCAGCATCACAGTAACTACTCCTGAAGCTCCAGGATTACGTCTGCTCTCTCCCCGCAGGATGCAGACAACCACAGCGTCATAGAGTTAAGAAAACTTTTTTTTTTTTCTTTTAAACATTTAACTTCTAGTCACTTTTAGACACTTTAATTTTGAGGACCTTGGGAATCAAATCCCACAACATTTCAAAGTTTTTAGAGAAAATGTGGCCCTTCAAACAAAAAAAATGGGTTCTAGAACATTACTTTTTCTAAATATTTAGGTGTAAATTAGTGGAAATATGCATTAACCTGGTTTATAAGGTATTCACTACAGAAAGACTCTGTCAAGCAAACTTCCACCACCAGGGCTCTCGGCACACAGTGGGTGGGGAAAATCCTGCGGACGTCCCCTCTGAGTCCAGCTTTGTTCCTGCGTGTTTACACTCCCTTGCTCCGGGCTCCTGGCTGAGCTCCGAGGGGGCGTGAAGCCAGGCCCTTGCAAGAGGGGCGTCCACATCCACGTCGTACACTCGCAAGGCATCTCCCTAGTGAGTTTTCATTCACTCCTAACTTCACGCAGCCGGGATAAGACTGACCTTCTCATATTTGACCTGATTGTGTCACAAAAGCATTAGAAGCTTTCATGCTTTCCTGGGAAATTCCCCGTGGGCCACCACTCTGGGCAGGGCCGTGAAGGAGCCTGGATGCCTCCTTCTCAGTTGGGAGCGCTTTGCTGGAAATGCTTCCATTTCCAAAGTGCCGGTGACAGTTGTGTGCGGAAATCACCAGCCCGCGCCGCGCTCCACGCGCCAGGAGGAGACCGGGCGTTTCGCCGCCAGGCCTCAGGCGCGGACCTATTGCTGCTATTTTCTTTTTCTTTAAAAAAATAATCCTGCTGTTCAATAGTCAAAATTGATTTCTCGTTTAGAAACGTGTGTCTCAAAGACAATTCCGCTTCCCCGCACCCTCGGCCCCGGGCGCTCGGTCGCACTCACCTACTCGCTGCTCGGGCGCAGGCCCCAGCCCCGCCGCCTCCGCGCGGCCCAGGGCGCAGTCCCGCTCGAGGAGCTGCAGGCCCTTGAGCTCCGCCGCGTGGTGCCTCCGCAGCTCCTGGACGATCTCCGCCACCAGCCGCAGCAGCGCGCGCCCGTCCGCCGGCTCCCGTGGCTCCGCGCCCCCCCGGCCGCGCCCCGCCGCCCCCAGGACCAGCAGCAGCCCCAGGAGGAGCGGGCGCCCGGGTCCGCGCATCGTGCGCTCGGGGCCGCGGGGTGGGAGGCTCAGACGCGCGCCGGGAGCTGGGCTCGCTGCAGGAGAAGGGGCGCGGGGGGCCGGGGAGAAAGTCAGCGGGGGAGGGGGGAGCGCGGGGCGGGGCGGGGAGGAAGCGGGAGGAGCCGCGGGCGCTGGACCCGGCTCCGCGCACCCCGAGGAGGCGCCCGCCGAGCCCGCAGGTGAGGACCAGCGGTTGCCCCGACGACCCCGTCCGAGGTCCCGCCCACCGGGAGCGGCCGCAGCTGGGGCCGAACGGAGCCCCCCGGAACCCGCCGCCGCCCCTCCTAACTTTCACCCAAAAGGCCGCGTCCGCCAAGCGCGCTGTGCCCGGCGCGAGCGCAACTTTCTTTCCCCTTCGGAAGCCGCGGGCGCGGGGGAGCGCCTCGGCCCGAGGGACCTCGCAGGGGCCGCGCCTCCGCGCCCACCTCCAAGAACGCGGCGCCGCGCGCCGGGCCCGGAGGCCGCGCTCAAGTTCCCAGCGTCGCCTTTGTGCGGTGGTCGCGGCGGGCGCCGAGTCCCCGAAGCCCACGGAGGAGACCCTCGCTCCGGCCCGGGTCGCGCCGCACTCTGGGAGCCCTTCCGGCCCCGCGCCACCCCGGGGCCACCTGCGCGCCGGGAGCGGGCTGGTCACCTGGAGCCGCCGGTGTCTTCGCCGTCTGTGCGCGTCTGTCCCCGCGCCCCGAGCTGCGCCACTACTCCATGCCCGGTGGCGGGCGGAGCGCACGGGACGCGGGGACTCGGGGACTGGCCGCTCCGAGCGCTGCACCCGCGACCGCCTTGGGTGCGCCGGTGCCGACTCCCGCCTCGAACCTCCGGGCGCTTCTTATCCCCGCGCCCGCCGACGTCAGGCGGGTCCCCGAGGGCTCCGAGCCGGGCTTTAATTAGAAGCCGCTGGACTGTCCGTGCCCCCATGCGGATCTCCGTCACCCCCGCCCCCGCCCCCCGCCCGCATCTCCCGCGCGTCTCCCCCGCGCCGCGTCTCCCGCGCCCCTTCCCTCCCCACCTTCCCCGTCTCGCGTCTCCTCCTCTTCCCCCCGCGTCTCCTCCCCCCGCCCCTCCCCCAGGCTGTTTCCCTCCGTTCCTGTCACTTGTGACAGGATGAGAAGAAACGCCTTTACCAGGAACTCGGTTCTGTTTTTGTCTAAATGTAGATCTTGGGCTATTAAAATGGGAGCTGCCTGATTGCTTCTACATTTAATAAGTCAATTAGAGTCTATCTGCTTTGGAGGGGTCCGATCCGCCGGCGGTCCTGGGGTCCGCTCTCATGACCATCCCAGGGGTCCGCCCCGCCCGATCCCAGGTCCCCAAGTTCGGGTCCCACGCCTGCGTCCCGAGGTGGGGCGTCCTGAAGGCGGGAGCGGGTCGAGCCGGGCGGCTAGGACTCCCCAGGCCCCGAGATGCGCGCGGCTGACCGCCCAGGAGGGGCATAACCGGCACCCCCCCCGGCCCCCCGCGAGAGGACTAGCCGAGGCCGCTCCCCGGCCAGGACCGCGCCGCCTGCCCGCTGCTCGGCGCTGGACCTTTGGCCGGCAGGTACCTCGCGCCCTGGAGGGAAACGCCCGCAGGACGCCAGGTGCCTCCCGGGTTGGTCTTTGAGAAAGTTTGGCTCTTTGGATGAAGCCCGGCACGTCCGTGAAAGTGCAGCAATTTGCGTCTTTTGTTTTATTCTTGTAAAATGTATGGTCAGTGCGTTGCGCACTTTCCCATCCGATTGGTGCTTTCTGGGCAGGAGCTGGACGTCTTCCAAGCCAGCGATCTGGGTGGGAAAGGTGTTCTGAGTGCAGTCCGGAAAGGCGGAGCGGGCGAGGATTGAACCTGCAGCGTGGTCGGGGCGTCGCGGGGAGCCCGCGGCAGGAGCTGGCGGAGCAGGTGCGCGCGGGGAGGCGGGAGGAGGCTCCGCGCCCGGTCTCTACGTTGGCATCTCGAGTCCTTCTCCTCGCCCCGCACCGGCTGCGCTTCCTCGGGATGGGAACGTGCCGCGCGGGGAGGCGACGGGGAGACCGAAGGTGGGAAATGGGACCCTCAGGACCCCGCCCCGCGCCCTCGGGGCTCTTTAAAAACAGATGGTTTGATTTCACAGCGAGGCTTTTCTTCTTTTTCTTTTTGCAGGCAACACGACTGAAATGTGAACGTTTCTGTTAAAATACGCTCAGGAAAAAGTACAATGTATGTCAAATAGATCTTAGGCACGTACCAGGAGGCATTTTTCCTTCTCCCTTTCCCCTTCCCATTTGCGTTCCTCCGGCAAGAGCGACGCCTGGCGATGGGGCGATGGGGCCGGCCCTCCCCTGCCCGGCTCCGGTCCTGCGCTAGGCCCACCTCGCAGCCGGTGTAAACAACAGCTTCCAGAAAACAAGCATGTGAAGATTCTACTGTTGTAAAATAGCTTGGTGTAAGACAGTTTTTCAAAAACATTTTGTATGGCAAAAGAAGAAAACATGACATTTTCACATATTATTTTTAATTTATGTAGACTTTTTTAGAATAGTGTTTTATAAAATGAAAAGCTAAATTTCTATAATATACCAGCAGGATCTATCCTCCCCCCAACGCACACACGCAAATTCTACCTGCCAAGGAAGACTTGCTGGTAATTAATATTATCTCTCTTCTTTTGCAGTTTGTAATGGGACAAATGGATTCCTTGAATGTGCCCTTTCTCCCATGCAATGTGGGCCCAGCCTCCCGCCTCACTCAGGAGAGGCATCAGAGCTGACGGTCTTTGGATGAATGAGACCTTGCTATTAAGAATCAGACAATTTATGTGTTCATTTATCTTTACCAAGTTCTGTGCTAAAATTATCTAGGTGCTGCTCATTTTATATTATAGAAACCATTTCTACAGGCTTTAACAAACTTAGAGTGTACCACTGATTTGTTAATCTTTACTGAACTTTCAAGTTAATGGTATTGTCAAGATGACCCCTTGGAGTTCTCCAGTCACCAGAAACGTGTGCTGTCACCCCTTGTTCTACTCCTGGGACTGGTTCCAGCAGATACCGAAAGCCAGGCACATTCACATCCCACAGTGGGGCCTGTGGGACACGCAGATAGGGAAAGTTGCCCTCCCTCTGCGTGGGTTTCACACCCTCCAGCTGCTGTGTTTTCGACCCACGTTTGAAAAATATCTGAAAGTGGACCCTTTCAAACCCCTGCTGTTCAAGAGTCAGCTGTATTGTGTCAATACAATCTGATGTGCTAAATCCATTGGCTGTGCTGGTAGTGCAAAGGAAAGCACCCCAGTTCTTTACTGTCAAAAACACATGAAGCTGTTTTTGACAGATGGCTCAGTCACTCCTCTACTTTTTGTGTAAAATGAGGTAGTTGGTCTAGTTGATGACCAAACTCTAAAACTACATAATACTAAGATTATTACCAAAAAAGTCTTAACCAGATGCAGTGTTCCCTACAAAAAGCTGAAGGTAATTCACTTGAAGTCATCACGATGAGTTCCATCATCTGTTTTCAGGAATCATTTAATTCCTTCCTTTAGGACGTGAACAACATTCTGCTCTCAAGGGTCCAGGACGCCAAAAAGAAAAGAGACAAAATTAGCAACAAACTGTATTCTAGGGTTACTGGAAAAATTTCTAGATTTGATGTAGTTGGTTATTTTTTTGAGAAAACTAAGTTGGATCATAAGAAGAAAACTGAGCAGAGGAAAAAAGTCTGTATTTAATCTACTCTGACAGTACTATATATGGGTCATAAGATGGGTGAGTTATTTTTTTTTCAATCCAATCCATAAACAGGTTAAAGTTCTGATGTTTTGACTGCAATCTTTTTTTTCTTCACCCAGAAGGTACATATTTAATTTTAGATAAATATTAACTACCTTCAAAGACTTTTAAAATAGGCATATACTATATGCTTTAAAAGGAATTGTTATATTTGTTCAATCATTATGTCAATCATTTCACAATCTAAGTAAGTTCGTATTGTAAAAAAAAAATTACCTTTCATAAAGGACAGCATCTTGTGATATAAACAAATATTGCTTACTGTTTAATTTTTACCAATTCTGGTTTTTTTTTTTAACAATCAAAATGCTATTAGTGTGCTGGGGAAGTACTAGAAAGTGTTTAAAGCATTTAGGAAGACAAGCTTTCTAACAGGATTAATTTTCCTATTATAGATGTAATAAATATAGACTCTCAGAAGTGATAATGTATGCATGATATCTGCCTCTTATTCTAGATCAATGAAGTTCAACATTCTATGTGATGCTTCTCCCCTTTGAGGGAGGAAGGAGACTATTCCAGAAACATGGTCATCTACCCCCTTCCCATTCTTTGACACCACATTTGCATCTGCGAATGCACACTGCTATGCATGTTCAGGAGAGAAATTAGGTGAAAGTTTTATTTGAAGGGTTGGGATGAGATAGCATGACTGATAAACATTTTAAAAAATTTATTGTTTAATGGTCAAGATAAAGAGGATTTTTTCATGGGGAAAGGCTTAAAGGAAGTATGGACTTTACCTTGTTCCTTCAAACTGGATTTTAGTTATAAAATCTAAAAACACTGTGATGCTTACTTGCCATTTGTAGGCACCAATCTGGCATCTTTTGATGGAAGCAGTGAGAATAAATTTGAATGAACACACCCGTCATCAACATATTAAAGAAAAGACCCTCTTATTTGGTATAAAGGCTACGTCAACAGTCAAACTCATATGCCAAGAAAATATAGTCATAGATGCCGAGTAACAACACCAGTATATGTACATTCAATCTGTTTGCTGCAGGAAATCAAATATTCTGATCAGAAGTGACACACACAATGGTCTGGGGTCATCGCAGAAACATCCAAAGTGTCATAAAGGCACCACCTACCAAAGTGGATTTTTGTTTGATTCTAGGATACGCTAACCACTGGGACAGAGATGCCTCCTGGATAGAGGGAACTGTGCCTGCAAACTCCTGAGCAGGAGGCCCCAGAGCTTCTTGGATCTGCTGGAAAGACTGGGCAGCAGGAAGGGGCTGAGAGGAACAGATGGTAAGGCACCTCCCCTGAACTCCACTTTCTTTCAGGAATGCAGCATAGTGGAGTGCAAAGGAGGTGGGCACCAAAGCCACAGAAAGGGGCTCAAGCTGATTCCCACCCACATCTGTATGAACTTGGGCGAGACAGCTTCTTTGAGCCCAGTTTCTTCATGTCTAAAATGGCAGGAGTACGTAGAACCTCGGAGGTTTTATACACATTAAGTAAGATAAGATAAAATATGTTAACTTTTTAGTAAGTTTAAATTTTTTTAACCGACCAATTACTGGTACCACTGCCTTTCATAGTGTCTGCTGTCATCATGGTCTCTTTTTTTCTATATTTTGTCCCTTACAATATGGCATGAAAGAGAACGTTATCCAATCCTAGAGAATGTCTGGGGCATCAGAATTTTGTGACTTATTCACAGCTGCATAGAAAATCTATAGTTAGAAGTGGACTGAAATATCCAGAATTAGTAAGTTTCCATGTGACCAGCACTCAGAACAGTGGGTGAAGGCTCAGTCCAGCGGAGTTGGATTCAGACCTGGGGGTGAGCTGCTGCTGCTGTCTGAGGCATGGTTCGTGTGCTGTCAGGAAGCTGTAGAAGTGTGTCTGGCTAAGAGGTACTAGGGCCATGAATTCATAAGAACAGTCTGTGTTTTGCTCACTTGACCCTTCCTTAAAACCATGGGGACATTTCAAGGCTGGTTTCTCTGGTATTTTTGCCACTGTTGCAATGCAGTCCCTTAGACAAAGAGTGCTTGAAACACTGTCTTAGTCCATGTGTGTTCCTAGAACAAAGTACCTCACACAGGAAGCTTATAAACAGCAGAAACTCACTCCTCACAGCCCTGGAGGCTGGAAGGCCAATATCAAGGCGGATTGGGTATTTGATAAAGGCCCCCCTTCCTCCTAGACGGCACCTTCTCGCTGTGTCCTCACACGGGAGGGGCAAGGGAGCTCTCTGGGGTCCCTTTTGTAAGGACACCAGTCCCAATGAGGCTCCACCCTCATGACCTCATCATCTCCCAAGGCCCCACCTCCTGGCCCCTCACTCTTGGGATTAGGCTTCAACACAGGCACTTTGGGGAGGCTCAGACATTGAGCCACAGCAGATACACAGCAGGACCTGGATAGGCCAGTTGCTGGTCCCGGGAGAAATCGGAGGCAGGAGCGCCCAACCTTTTGGCTTCCCTGGGCCACACTGGAAGAAGAAAAGTTGTCTTGGGACACATGTAAAATAACACTAACAATATCTAACAAGCTAAAAAAAATCACCAGAGAAATACCATAATGTTTTAAGAGTTTATGAATTCCTGTTGGGCCGCATTCCACGCTGTGCCCCACGGGTTGGACGTGCTTGGAAATGGACGTCAAGCAGAAACAGCCTGCACCTCCAGCAGTCAGGGAGGGTTCGTGCTGAGAAGCTCTCATGCACCCACACATCCCATGAGCATCACCTGAGTCCCCTCAGGACGGAGGGGAGAACTTCTCTCTGCAAGAAACCTGCACTGTTTGGTGACCAAGGTGTCCCTGTGTCGGGTGCTCCTGGAGACTGGGCAGAGTGCAGGGTGTGGGGCTGGGTCACGGCGTGCTTGGAACATGTGAGGGGCCTTCCCGGGGGGAGTGTAGGGGAGAAGAGGGGAAGAGGCCACGCTAAGTGAGCACTCTGGGCTTCATCCTGCAGGCTGTGGTAAATGATCGACAAGCCTTGAGCAGGGGAGTGACATGATCAGATCTGCAATGTAGAGATAGATACGGATGAAGCACCAAAATGGCGTGGGGTGGTGGACAGACAGACCAGGGCTGCCCCTCCGCCCACCCTCCCTCGTGGACAGACAGACCAGGGCTGCCCCTC